AACGTTAATTTTTCTTGAATTAAAGTGATTTTCTAGAATGTAGGTGTTACATTGAAGAGTAGTGGTTCATATGTTTAGATGTGTTTTCTTTGACTAAAAAATTATTTGTTCTTTCTCTTTACTCAATTTTTATTTGTCATTACCAGCTGTTATTTATGTGACTGTTACTCTACAAGGTGATTCCTTGGAGGAGAAATGTGAGAAGTAAAATATTTCTTCCTTAAATACCTTATATTCCGTCCTCTTTCATTCACACATACATTAAAGTGACCCTACTGTTTATAGTTCAGAGATCAGTAAGATTTCTTTCAATTCCTCCCGCAAGTCTCTTTAACATCACATTAATATATAGCATGCCAGTTTCCTTAATTTTAAGACAATTTTGCATTATGTGGATAATGGTTTCTAATTGGATTCTGCCTTGATATATTAAAATGCATATGCAATATGTTTATGTGTGCATGATGTGTTTTCTACACAACACACACAAATCAGAATACTTGATTGATATGACCAGCATGCCAAAAACTCATATAATCAATGTATGCAGCCACGGAAAGCCCGTGGTATGAATGATCAATTAAAGTACAGGTCCTCGGTTATCACAGCCGGAATCTGCTGGGTTGTAAGGTTGATCTACTTCTTCCTAATATATACAGTAATTAATATTTTCTTGCCCAAGTTTCATCATCTATAAAATGGAGCTAGTAGTAATAAACTACCTCCCAAGATTATTTTTGAGTAATAAATAAGTTATTTCATGCAAACTGCTTGACGAATTGTAAGGGATGGATACATTTAGCTCTTATTTTAAATGATTGAAAATGCAGTATGAAGAATTTCTGTCCCTGTAATATGGAACTTACAGTAACAGAAGCCCAAATTCAATCTGCACCTACAAAGTGGTAGTTGATTCCTTTTAAGTCTATCGAGGCAAGTTAATATTATACATTAAATTAAAAATTTAAGAGTTTTAGAGCAAATGGAAACCTAACTTAGCATGTATATATTTAGAATTATTTTATCTCTTATTTTTCTTCAACATGGGATTTACTATCAGAGAAAGTGTTTCATTTCTTACCTTGTCTCTTACTGATCATAGCCTCTAGGATTGGTTGGTTAGCTCTCTCACGTGCTCCTTTCTCCTGTGTCATGTGGAGCTGACGGCAGTCCTTTTCATGACTGTGTTCTTCCAAACCTCTGCCAATGTCAGTCTGTGAGGCCCTCTCATCGTTCATTCCTGGACTGGGGTGATGTTGGTCCATTATTCTCTGGTGTAGTAGTTTTCCACATTTGTGTGTTTATTCATCTTCCTCAGTAAATTGTGTATCCATAGTTGAGTGCATCTCTGTCTTGTTCACATTTGCGGTATACCTATCGTGATGTAGTTGATGTTCAATTAAATCCTTCCAAGAAATCAGTCATAAGAGCCATCCAACTTGGACTCTCTACATAGGCATTTTATTCAGATGGTGCAGAGTTTATATTCTCTAATTTAAAAAATCCATATTTTACATAATCCTAGAAATTGAGCCGCTGTACGTAAGCAGGATCCTCCAAAAAAGAATTATCTAGGTGTGATTTCATACTAATTATTTTCTCCTCTGTGTATCTCTTATGAATTTGAAAGTGACAGAATATATTATATCAGCATTGAGGCTAAGTACATCGGTTTCAAGGTTTATGGGTTTTGGGCCCTTGTCAAAGATCTGTGCCCATCTTCTTGCTGTTCACTCCATCTAATGCCTAATAGCATATCTGCCCTTTAGAAATGTAATTATGTGGATACTAATTAGCAGGCTATTGCAGTTATTCATATGACAGAAAATATAAAAAGTGCTCTGACAGAGCTGTAAATATGATGCTTGGAGCATGGAGTAAAGAGCTCTAACTATAAGAATCAGAAGGCTCTTGAGACTTTGTAAAATGTAATTGTGAAAAAATAAATAGGAATCAAGAGTGAGAATCAGGTTTCTGGCTTAGCAACTGAAGTGGAACACAATTTCAATACTGAGGAAATTTTTTTTCCATTTTGTTTATTTCATTTATCTATTTATTTTCTTTTGATTAGAAGATATCATTTTTGATTTTGAATGTGTTGACTTTGATATTCTAGTGAGCCCCTAGTTTGACAATCAGTTGTTGAAAAACTGATCTGTCAGGAGAGAGACCATTCCTTCATGAGTGAGTGAAGACAGCATGCAGAGGAACCGTGTGTGTGTGTGTGTGTGTGTGTGTGTGTGTGTGTGTGTGTGTGGTGTCATGCAGAGACTGCATTTATTGAGAGGAAACAAAAAGAAAATCCTGGGAAACACCAGTGTCCCTTAAAGGAGAATATGAATAAGAGGACCCTTTCTTTTTCATTCTCCACAGGGAGGGATCAAGAGTGGAACTGAGTGTGCAGTTGACATAAATTTGAGGCATTTGATAATTGGTAAAACTTGATATGTCACATCACAAGGAGTTCTGGGAATAGAGCCTATAATGGATTTAGGGGCACAGAGGATTTGAGGATATGTGCACCCATAGACTACTCATAAAAGAAATCTGACATTAAAGGAAAGAATAACAATAAGCAGTAGGTGGAGGTAGCTGCAGAAAGGATAAATGTAGAATACTTTCTTCCCATTTATGCTAGAAGGTGCATTAACATTTTTGTAGTTTAAGAGATAGGAACCTGTAATGAGGAAGGATATTGGACAAATAGAGGCTTGTTTGAACAGTCTTATTCCTAAGGAAACTGGAAAAAATAGATTACATACCTGGATGGTATTTTTCTTCTGGTATCATTAAAGCCTTGTATCAAAGGAAAAAAAAATTTCTTTTTATCTGAATTTGAAAGAAAAGAGAGACAGTTAAGGATTTAGATATAAACTTAGTTAACTGAAAAACATTATGTCAGTAAGTAGATATAATACACGTTATAAGGAATATTAGCTTTTTTTGAAAAATGTGTTATCGCTTTTACTCACCTTTAAAAATGCTTAACCATTTTTTATAAACACTGAAAACTGCAAAAATCTCTTTCTTCTCAGTAACTAAAAAGCACAATGTATTCATTTTGTGGTCAAATTAATTATTGCTCAAAGTTTTTCATAGGAAGATACATTCTGTTATATGTAGATGATCTTAATGTATTTGGGATTTTGATGGTCTAGTCAAACAACAGTTTAACAAATATAAATAATAAGGTTAATATATGTACTGGTGATATACATGACTGTTCTTTAACTTCAAAATGATTTTCTTCAAATATCTTTTCAAATGTCTATGAAATAATAAATTGGACTTTTAAAAAAGTTGTATGAAGAAGATTTCAGTTGCTGTAACAAAAGCCTTGAGGCTAGGTAATGTGCAAAAATAAAAGGTTTATTTAGCTCATAATTCTGAGGATTCAGAATCCAAACATGGCCCCAGATCTGGGTAGTGTCACTCTGGCTGTCTCACAACAGTGGTACATGGTGCCTTAATGGGAGCACAAGTGAGGGAGTGATCTTGTGGTGAAACAAAAAACTAGAGAAAGGGGAGGGAGCAATTTTGCTCCTTTTAATTAATAGCTCACTTTGGCAAGAACTCAGTACAGAAGACCAGCATTAATTTCTTTGAAGGGCAGTGCTGTCACGACCTAACTGCTACCCCTAAGTCCATCTATTAAAAGTCCACTGAGAACCAACTTCCATTTTATTCAAATTTTATTTGATTGTTTTAGTACTGAACAAAATGCTGTTTTTAATCAACATCCTCCTTTCTCAGACCTCTGTTTCACCACCGATTCAAAAACCTCAGCAGTTACCAAGTGGAATCTGCAATTTACAATAATAACAGCAATACTCAGGCCCAATAGATGGGCAGTATGCCTGCAAGATACTGGTTACAATTATTTCATTTTTTTTCTATTGTTGCTGTTGCTTTATTTATTTATTTCTCATTGAGTTTATTGGTACATTTTAGGTATACAGTACAGTTACACTCAGAATTGGGATCTTGCACCTTTACATGACAGGTCTTGGTTCTCATTTTTCCCCGTACCCCTGCCCTCCCTTCACCCCCTCCACCCTGTCCTAGTTACAAAAACTTTGTTCCCATTTTTTCATTTTCTCATATTTTTTTTCCCTTAGTTCTTTTCCCCTACCTTTCCTCCTTCCCCTACACCTGGGGTAGAGCAAGGCACTCTCTGAGAGCTTCTTGACCTTAGTTCTGTTCCCTGACATCTTATTTTCATAGAAAGAATTATAATTGCTTTTCAATTAGGTTATGTAGGTGGATTCTGGAATGACTGGGATTAATGAATGGAGATCCTGCCTAAGTAAAGCCTCCTGAGGAGGCCCATTGAGTCTTAAAGTCTGTAGGAAAGATGTGTTTCAGAACAGTGAACTGCAATTTGCACAGTATTCTGAAATTCAAGCTTCTTTTCTTGCTAAATCCGAATAGCAATGTGCATAGCCTTCCTTTCTTTTCTTTGTCCCTTTAGCATCTAATTAAATTCTGGCTCTCTCTTTGTTGTTGACCTAGACTGCCTTTTGCCTTTTGGGGAGTTGTGGACAAGTATTTCCAAAGCAGCAGCTAGTGAAGGAGGCATCTCATGTTTCAAAAAATATACATACATATGTGTGTGTGTGTGTGTATGTATATCACTGCCTTAGGTTTCCTTTGTGAAGTGATGAGAAAGTGTGCATGCCCCTTGAAGAAATCCAGGTGGTTAGGAATTCTAGGGTAGGGAGGGTAAAAGGCAACTAGAGAGGGGAAAGTTCAGTGATTGTAGAAGTCTTGAAAATACCTCTTAATGCTTTCTAATGGAACGTAAGTGCAACTGATACTTATACTGTATTTTCTCTCCCGAGGACTCATTTCCTTCTATTTAGAATTTACTTTTACAGTACCAGGTCAGCATTTTTATTGCTCTGCTCACCATTTTTATTTTTGGAATATGAAATAAAAATTTGTGGTTTTATATACAGTAATACAGTCCTTTCTCCATATTTCTGTTTTCCTCATGCCAGAGGATTGCTTCTTCAGGAGAACAGCAGGTTTGCAGAGGCCCTCCATTATTATAAACTGGCCATTGGGAGCAGGCCTACCCTGGCTTGTAAGTAATTGAGTTTTATTTTGTTCTTTATTTTTTTCAATATTTCTTTTCACTTGTGGAAATTTTCTTTGTTACTTACAGCCTCACAGAGAAAATACTTGGTGCTCCTATTTCTGAATACTTGCTGATCAAAGGACAAAACTCTAATGATGTTATTTCTCTCAATTTCATTTTGATTTCTAATTCTACTTAAAAATATTAGGATAGAAAGGTAAAAATATTAGGATAGGTATAACTTTTACTCACCTAGATTTTAAGGTAAAAAATAACTGGAGGTATGAAGGCATGGTCTATTTGAAGTACAAATATTCCTATTTCATGTACTTGTGTTTTTTAGTGAGTCTTATAGTTCCTTCTACCATTATTGATCACATAAGTATTTGTTTCATAAATTTTGATGTTTTATAATCAGAAATAAACTCAATGAAAGATGACTTCTTTTTTTTTAAAATTGAGTTTATTGGTACATTTTAGGTATACAGTACAGTTACGTTCATCATTGGGATCTTGTACCTTTACGTGACAGGTGGTCTTGGTTCTCATTTTTTGCCCTTGTCCCTGCCCTCCCTTCACCTCCTCCTCCCCTCCCCAAGGATAACTTCTTTTTAATTTATAATATATATCATCCTCTCACACTCTGTTTCTGCTTTTTACCCTTAGCTGCATATTTAAATACTGGCATTATTCTAATGAACCAAGGAAAGACTGAAGAAGCCCGGCGGACATTCCTAAAGTGTTCTGAGATTCCAGATGAAAACCTAAAGGACCCTCATGCACACAAGAGCTCTGTCACCAGCTGCCTGTACAACCTGGGGAAACTCTATCATGAGCAGGGGCACTATGAGGTGTGCTACAACTTCACTCTGCTTTCCTTTCCCCTTATTCAGTCAGGTCTTGATGTTTTCTAACCTGCAGCATCCTTTCAGAGCCACTTCAGTCCTTCAAAAAATGAATATATGTTCACATTGAAAACATTTTTATGATGAAGTTTGTTTGCCAAAAAGACCTGCAAATAACAGTGCAACATATGTCTTCCCCGTGAGTTTCTCAGAGCAGTAAAATGCACCACGTCAACATGCATTGTGACTCTGCAAAAAGACAAGTCACAGGCACTGTTTCCTAAGTTTATTTGCTCATTAGTGATTCCATCATCCAAGACAATTTCTAGAACTGTTTCTCTATACCCAGTGTTTGATATTCTTAAATTCTATAATGTTAGTATTTTGAATAATGAGAAAATGATTAGATATACATTGTTTCCTTTAGATTTTTAAATACTATTATGTAATAAAATATTACTTTTAATAGAGGGTGAGATAATAGAATGTCATTAAGCATGTTAGGAGGTGACCCGCGTTCCCCCTTGCTCACAGGACACATCCCTGCATGTGATCCTTATGAGGTGTGATTGAAAAATATGCTGAATGTTATACTTTAAAAATATATATCATAGTAACAGACTCGACATTGATCTCCTCTTACTGAGAACACACTTACCTCGTCATTCTTCTCACTCCGAGCCATTTCTGGGAGTCTTTAGTGAGTGTCATTAGTTACACTGTTGTGGCCTCCTCCGTGACCTGAATGGATTCAGAACTCTCACCTCTTGTGGTCCTTTTGACTTTGGGGAAGAGCTACAAGTTGCATGATCCCATATCCGTCAGACAAGGTAAACGAGGACAGCACCGTGACTTTTTTATGAGCCTCCCTTTCTGTTGAATGGCACACAGCAGCAGCAGCAGCACTGTATCTTTAATCACACCTGGCAAAGAGAGAAAGACAGCTCCAAGAACCGCTTCAGAAAGTGGCAAGGACGATGGGCTAAATGGGTTCAAAGCAAGAAGGGAGTATTTTTAGGGGAGGTAATGGTGACATATCTTTTATTGTAATACTTTTTTTAAAAAAATTAAATATTCATTATATATTTTGATCACTCTATGTATGGCCCCTCTGTTTCCTTCAAAATTTCCCCTGTCCACGCATCCCATAGTCTTATACAGTGCACTAACACTACAATATAGGATGAAGATGAAATAATTGCATTTAACAATATTAGTCTCAGTAACTGGAACTTTTATTTAGAGGTTTGCTTAAATTAACATGTCTATGGAATTTGGATGACTATTGAGTAACTTTCAAGTATGACTTTTTATAGCTTTTCTTCTTGGCTGACCTTTGTAAAACTAGAAAATTCATATTAAAAGAGCTTTGGTAAAACTCGACCTATTGTTAAACTAAAATTATATATGGAATTCTTCACTGGTCTGAGAATTTTTACTTTTGGAATGAAAGTAGCATAAAATCAAAGGACAGCTCAATTATTTCCCTCTAGTGAATCATTTAGAAACAGCAATGGATAGTTATAACTTGGAGGAATGTTATTATCTTATTTTCTGTGAATATGCCTGTATGTTAATGATGATTTATCTTTTTTGGTTTTGTTTCTTAAATTAGGAAGCCCTGACTGTATACAAAGAAGCAATTCAGAAAATGCCCAGACAGTTTGCCCCACAGAGCTTGTACAACATGATGGGTAAGTAAAACATTACTATTTTAATTGATATTTCAGAACCTGTGTGTGTGTTAAATGTAAGTGTAACGAGTCCTGTTATTGGTACTTACAAAGAAACTTTGTTCAGAATAAGAGCATCACTTTCATATTCCTACAACACTGTTGTTTTCTCATGAGCAAGTAAATTCATTAATAGTGATTCCCTAGACATTAGTGAGGTCCCACAATTGTACACAAAGATCTCAAAAACCATTTGGGTCCTAAATACTAGCTAGACTCTAGAGAATGAAAGAAAGAATGTCTCACATATGTGTGTAATTTTTAAATCATCTTTAAGGATGGATATTCATTTCAGTGAATTTATCACGTTCATGTAATCTTTGATTGTGTTATTCTCTTAAGAAAAAGATTCTGAAAAGGTTTACTGCAATGATGTAGAGGTTCATGAGCCTCCAGTCATATAAAAGATGAGAAGAACTGAGTCCATTTGTGTTATTTTTCTTTGATTGGGCCTTGAATCTCACTAGATGTTTTCAGAGTAATATTTCAAAATAAAACATGGTTAAAAATAGTAAGTGTGCTACAATTACCCATTTTTTTTTCTGTGGTGAATAATTAGCTTCTCTTATCAGTCATAAAATATGTAAATCTGGGGCATGGATTTTTCTAGGTATGAAAGGTCAAGAACTTAAAATTCTGACAAAACACCTATCCTCTGTTAATGATTACTCACTGCCTTGTAGGAAATTGATATCACAACTGTGTCATGGTGGCCAAAACTGAAAAAAAAAAAAAACTATTGAGCATGATGCTTTTGCAAAAGGGCCTCTTAAATAGAAGATGCTTTTTGATGAGTTATCATGATTGTTTCCTGATAATGGAGACAAGGGGTTACATTTGTCCTCCAACCAGATACACTGTTTTTCAAAATGCAAATTGCAAACTCAGATATTCCTTTTTTATTAAAGCTAATTGTGTTTTTTTGGTGCTGGCGATGGAACTCAGGACCTTGCACTTGTGAGGCAAGCAGCGGAATCACTGAGCTAAATCCCCGGCCCTAGTTGTATTTTTCTTTAATGTTTCTAGTTCTTATGCATACATAATAAATGAGATTATACTATGTGATGATCTCCAGGATTATATTAGTGCTTCTAAATCCTATGGTTTGAGAAATACCATAGTATATGTATTGCTTTTGCACATCCAAAAAAGTGCTATCCCCTCCCAACCTAGAAAACATGTATCTGCCTACGAGAACACTTAACTGTTTTTTTCCTAAATGACCAAAAATTTAGAAATGGATCAGAGATAGAATGGGACACAATTTCTTCTTCTTTTTTTTTTTTTTTTTTTAGGCGAGGGGGGGCAATTACAATTTGGAAATCCATTTGATCTTTCCAGTCCCAATTTGCCTATTTAACAAGTGAGTGATTTAATGCTCACATTAAAGAGGAAACTAGAATTTTTTTGTTCATTTTTGTACTCAACTTTCATGGATTAAAACAGTGCCTTTTATTATCTAGCATTTTACCATCCAGCTGTCTAACCGAATAAAATATACATGTGCATCAAGCATATACCTTTAATGAGTATATCTGTCAATTGAATTAACTTTTCTCTTTTAATGCTGGATATTTTTCACATTAAAGAATAAGTACTAGAGACTTCTTTCTTTACCTTTGCCTGAGGAGGCACAGTGGTTTCATTTTATGATGTTATTCCTAACACTAGTGCTTGGGACCTCATTCCTGTTTTCCTGAATTATCAAATAAAACATTTCTCTGTATTAGGATTAGAGGTCCTTGGCAACAGACTGCATGTGGTATTTTTATTGTTGATGGGAAGGGGTGGTGTACACTCTAATTAGTGATTCAGATAATTCATTTGTTCTGTTATTTTATGTAAATAAATTAGATTGAAAATTCAGGTAGCACCTTGGGATCTGTCCTTCCGTGGTTACACAAATGCTAAGCACACAGAAGCAGCAAAGGATAAGGGTGTCCCTGGGGGTTATTGCTTATTTCTTTATCTTATTTTCCATTATAGAAGGATATGGTAGCTTCGTTCATACTAAAAAGCACTGTAACAGTTTCCTACTGGAGGGTCCTAATATAATTTAAAATTCCAGATTTCTCCTATAATTGTGGTAGTTTCCTTCTATTTAATTTTATGTGAAGATTTGTCAGCTGTGATTGGGTTTTATAGTTTCAGTTGCTGAAGAAACTATAATTTTCTCAGAGAGTGAGTTCACCTTCTAATCTAATGGGTTAAATCCCCTGAGTGTTTGCTTTAACTCCTAATACATTTTGATTAGCCTCCATTTGACAAGAAAAAATGGCCTAGGAGATAAGCTGCCCTATCAGTTCATCAGTTTCATTAGTCTGTCAGCATGTGCTGATTATCCTATCAAGTTTATCAACAGCCTGGAATGTGTTTTCTAATTCACACATTTACATATTATTAGTGCCCTTTAGGGATCAGTGATGGATTATAATGTCTGGCTAGCATTAGCCTTCAAGTATTCATTTTTCTCATGTCTCCCTCATTTACCCCTTCAGGCCCACTATTCCTAAGCATATCCCCACCGCCATTCTATTTTCTTTGCTTTAATGGTTAGAGATAAAGGAATAATATGAAAATATATAATTATATTTGAATGTTATTATTAGTGTCATACCTAAATTTGCTGAATTTGCTTTTTAAAAAACTTCAACCCTTTGCATTTTCCCTATGAAAATTTTATGAATTTACATGAGTGCATGCTATATTCCAGTTCACTTGACCACCAACAGAGCATATTTTTCCTATTTATATAAATAGAAACGAAGTTCGATTAATCTATTTCACCACTTAAACTTTCCATATTTTGTTTAAAGATTGTTGTTAGTTTTATTGTGGTTGCTCAAAAGTAACAGAACAAGAAACTTAAAAGTATATCCTTATTATTCTCTTTAATTCGGTATGACTAAAAGAGTAAAAATAATTGAATATCTTCCCTTCTGGAATTAGGTGAACTGCAAACATAAACATAACATAAATCAGGTAGATAAATATTATTTTATAAATAAATATCAGACTTCCACTGAAATCCTAGTAATTAATAAGGAATGAGAAGACATGAAATATTAAAAGACCAAGTCACGGGGTAAGCTGACTTTAATTCTGTTCGGCTTAGTTTCCTCTTGAGATAACAATTTTGGATTAACTCGGTCTGTCGTTATTTCTGAAGTCATATAGCACAGAACATGTTTGACATGTTCTAGCTTTTCATGTTCCTGGGCAAACTACTTACTGAACGCCTCAGGCTCCAGTTTCCTGCCTGTAACATATCTGTAATAGCATCAGGTTGGAAATTGATTAAAAATGAAAATACTGAAGGTAAAACATCCTGGCTCCATGTTTTATAACGTGACCTTCCGTTACAATAGTCATCACTCTCTGGGGCTTTATGCTCCAAGGTAGATGACGGTATTATTACCCCTCTGTTCTTTTGTGTATAGCAGTGTAAATAAGGTTACTTTTGTAAGGTGATGGACCGCTTTGCAGTCTCAGTAGGGATTCTGTTTAGATCCATCTTGTCTGGAGCTGTTGTCCGCTCTTCCCAGGATCATCTCCCTATTCCTCTCAGCCGTCACTGTCAGAATCTTTCTTCTATCATTAATTAGCCAAAAGTGAAACATCATCTTCAGCTTAATCTAATTTCATTAATGGAGTGTTTACTCTAAGTTAAAATTGTCACGTTTAGGATATTTTCCTCTCCTTTTGCTGTCGTGATATATTTTTCCTCTAGTGTTAGTCAAAGTTATTTTTATTGTGATAACCATTATAACTGTTTATTGGATTTTGGTTTCTTCTCTTTTCCTCTCAAACTTTAGGTGTATTTTAGAATCATGGAATATTAGAAATAGTAGGTTCATACCTTAAAATTTCCATAGTCTGTTTTCCAAGATAATAAGTTAATACCCCCAAAATTGAGTTTTATCTGTTCAGGATGCAATTTGCTGACTTTAATTCACTTATTTTTTCTATTCAGACTTTCTGTGTTACAGAAACTTCATGGTCTATAGTGTAACAAAATAGCTTCTCTTTACAAATTTAATAGCGAAATATAAAATAAAAAGTCCTAGAGTTTAACTATTTAAAAATTCACAACTGCAGTTTTATCACAAATGTATTAAATGTGATGTATAGTAGAATTTTCAATGCAGGATAATTTTTGAAAAGCTTTGATTTTTTTTTCTGTATAATTATTTATTGCCCTTATTATCATTACTTCAATATTACTTTTGTATAATTGTAAAGAACTGTAGGAAACTACGTAGGCTGTGACTTCCAATTACTTTCATCATTTTTGAGCTCTTCCAATCCCAAAGGTCAGTTTAAGCCTATTTACTATTTAAAATAAAATTACTCAGCTTTTTTATTACAAAGTAATTGCTGGGTTTAATTATACGAGTGAATTAGGCCATTTCATCTTGGTCATATATCTTGAGAACAAAGCAGAATTATCCATTGCATGGAGTAAGAGAAAACAAAGTTGTTGTCTTGTCTTTGCAGTCTGTAATCATGTTTTGGGTACAAAAAATTTGTTTTTTAAACTCTCAAATGCTGAGTGCAAGGGTAGAGAGGGTAGGTAGTGCCATGAAATGTAAATAGTGTGGTTCCTGCTCTCATAGAACTTCTTCGGAAATTTCACAGTTAATCCAAAGTTCTTTAGTTCTCTCCTTAATAAGGAAAATAAAAATAAAATAGAAAACTAACTTTCTCTAACTATGAGAATATTCTGTCTGTAATTGTATAGCCTGTACCATGTTGACTGAACTAAACAAAATAAGAGCAACATATCAACATATATATATATATGTATCTCTCATAGAACTTCTTCGGAAATTTCACAGTTAATCCAAAGTTCTTTAGTTCTCTCCTTAATAAGGAAAATAAAAATAAAATAGAAAACTAACTTTCTCTAACTATGAGAATATTCTGTCTGTAATTGTATAGCCTGTACCATGTTGACTGAA